TCCTATAAGGTTCCTTTAGAAAATCTATAAGATTCCTTTAGGCATTCTATAGGATTTCTATAGGATAACTATAAGATTCCTATTTGTTTCATATAAAAATCTTGCAGTTTTCCTATAAGATTTCTTTAAGAATCTTATAGGAAAACATATTAAAATTCCTATAGAATACTTATACGACTCCTATACGATTCCTATAGGATTCCTAAAGGATATCTATTGAAATAATCCTATAGGATCCTATAGATGTGACGAAAAATCTATAAGATTCCTATAAGATTTTCTCTTATAGGATCCAATAGGACATTTTTGTAAGGGCAGACCCTTTGATAATGCACCTTGGTCGTTAAATTGATGCTTCGTAAATTCTTATAATATTATTATTATTAGGCTACTGTGAGATTTTCTGTTGTCAGTGTTGTGTCCAAACCAGGTTGTTCTGAACTGCAAGGTTAAACGTTTAGCGAAAATAGAATTTCCAAAATTTTACCACACTCAGCCCCAACTGTGGTGGAGATGAGAGACGTGTGACCTCACAGTTTTGAAGTAAGTAAAGTAAATCATCAAAGACAATGTTTTTAAGTTTTTTTTCTATGGTAACGTACATCACACATACTAATTAGATCTCTATGGTTGCCAAAAATAGCCTGATAACAGATCATGAGAATTCGTTGGCGCTTCATTTTGACATATTATAAATGATGAATATATTATAAAGGAATTTTACTATTTAAAAGTGTCATTTCCGGGCCATTTTGAGGTACTATTTCTTAAAATTTTCTCACCAAAGCCGTGTTGCCACATTCACCTCAGGGGCTGAGGTGAATGCCATGACCACGTGGTTTTGAGGTAGGTAGAGTATATTAAATACATCAAAGAAAATGTTTCTTTAGTTTTATTTTCTATGGCATATCACCCTGTATTAATTAGATGTCTGATTCACGATCGTGAGAAATTTGCTGGCGCTTCATCTAGACTAAATAATGATGGTGTGATACTGGTGAATTTTATTGTATAAAAGTGTCCTTTCCGGCCATCTAAAGGCATTATTTCCTCAAATTTTCTTACCTCGGAAGAACCATGGTGGGGCTGAGGTGGTTGTGGACTCAAGGCTTTGAAGTAGGTAAATAAATACATTAAAGAGAATGTTTTTAGGTTTTATTTTCTATGGTACGTTACAAATTAGGTCTCTGTGGTTACCCAAAATCGCTGTTACTTTTGACAGGGCCTGGAGATGTACGATAATGAATTTAAAAGTGTCATTTCCAGCCATCTCACTAGGTTTCCTTAAACTTTTGCACACACCCCCTACCGCCAAATCCTGCATCTGCTCCAGTGGTAAGTAAATATTTTCCTCCCTTTTGAATCTGTGTGGTGCAGTGTGGTTCCGTGTGGTATTAGTACTAGAGTAGGACCCGAAAATTTTCCAAAACCTTTTAGGCTGTGTAGTCCGAAACGCTCACATTTCTCGACTAAAAAAAATAACCCAGTTTGGCATTATTTGGGCCATAAGCCATTTTATTAGTCACTATAGCAACTCCCTGTTAGAACTAACTTCTAAATATAGTTGAAACGACAAATGAAATACCGGCCTAGGCCTACCTGAAGTCTGACCACCGTAACAGGGTTCACCACCATCTGAGCAACTTGAAATATAATTAAAGTTAGTAAAAGTTCCATTCTAAAATACCGTACGCTCAACCTCACCTTCTGTGTGTTATTGGTTATGAATGAAGTGAAATTTAGAACAAGGTGCGATTCCTGGTAGCAGCAGCGATTTTTTGACCGGACTTGTGCATGACTCCGTTCGAGCCGTCTGGAAACATTGGATTGACTTGAATCGAAGCTAAGGGGGCGTTAACGTATCATTTGATTGATTAGCTTTACTCCTCCTCCTCCAAGCCCAATTCATGCGAGGCAGGACGAAGTACAATATGCAGTATTGTACCAAAGGTGCCAGGCTCCTTAAAACGCGCAAAGCTCCGTAAAAGTGACAATGACAATACTTTATAGATTATGTTCATATGACCGTCTCATCGGGTACTACTAAAATCAAATTTCCTTCTATCAAAAAGTGACTTTTATTCAACGCAGCCAAGCCATATCCCCCGCCATATTTATTTATTTACTTTAGAACCAGTGGTGGCGCCAGAGGGGGTGCAGGGGATATAGCTCGATGCCTATCAAATAAGTAATAAAAATTCGCCATAATTCATCAAATGTCCGTACGTGGCTTCCAGGGGGCGAAGCCCCTGGACCCCCCTCGGGGCCCTGGGCGGGCCCCCCCTGGCCCCCTAGCCAAGTGAAACTCGATTCGCTCCACTAGCCCCCCCCCCCCAATCGGGGCCTTTAGCCCCTCCGTTGGGCAGGGCAAAGATAAAGAGAATCACTGGGAACTTTTACTTAAAACAACCACACCATTTGGACTCAATATTAGGAACGTTCTCCCAGTACACTAAATTAAACCAATGGCATTTCAATTTATTCTGGATAAATCTTTTGGCTTATTTATTGAGACTTGCCTCTAAAGTTTATTTTTGGCCTTCCTGTTTACTTGTTTAGGCTGTTTATTCTAATTCTAATATATATATATATATATACCAGCAGTATATCCCACCAGTTATATACCTGGAAGGTATATTACTGGTGGGATATTTGGTGCATGTTGGTCCTTGTATTCAAGTTTTAGAAATAGATTGTGCCAGATACATATAGGCCCTATATACCGTATTTATTCGAATAAACGCCCCAGGGCGTTTATTGTTCAGATGGGTTTTGAGGAGGCGTTTACTGGTATTAGAGGAGGCATTTAATTTTTTGGGTGTAAAATGGATGCATAGGCCTACATTCCCAAATAAACGCCTACATTTTATATATTTTTTTCACATTACTGATTATTTACTACTACTGTACAAGTAGGATATTTTTTTAAATTTTGATTAATTTGAAGGGGAGGGGGGTCGGACCCCCTTGACCCCTCTCCGGATGCACTCCTGCACCTTGTCGCATTTTTATGGAATAATGTTGGCTGACGAGCATTAGTGTATATGCACACTACCGCTGTGATGTTATTCCATCCTGGCACAATTATTCTCTTGCAAAGTGTAGAGCCATTTTGAAGGTGAAAATACACAAACGTTTACCATTGCCTTGCCTAGTCCTGTAGTATTTGTATAATAAATTACTGTTTTATATTACAAATTCAAGAATAAAATACCAAGACCAGACAAAATTAAAACACTCTGTGTTTAATCAAGCAAAGAATACAAACATACAAATGAGTATTTAAAACAATTTCTTGTTTAAACAAAAAAGAATATATACATAATGAAATGTATTTATATATTCTTCACAGATTGCATAGTAAAAATAAGAATACTGTCATTATTCAATAATACAGTATTAAAATATCAGCCTCTCATCACTCATCTGCCTATGGAAACAGGGGTGGCGCCAGTTGGGGGTTCCCATCGGGGAGGGCTGGTAGCCTGTCGGGAAGAGCTGAGTCCCCGTCGAGGAGAGTTGGTCCCTCGTCAGGGAGAACAAAACATTATATGTATTTTTTAAAATATTAGTAGACTCTAAAACTCCAAAATTGTCGTAGTTTCCAGGGCCACCGGAATTACTTCTGGGAGATAGCGCTCACCTCGGGGAGTCGGCCCCCACATCGTGCAAATCCTGGCGCTACCCCTGGTAATCAGTGCATTGTCATTAAAATATTACCGTTTTATACTCAGTTGAGAAAGACAGTGGTGTAACAAAAAGACGCTTTTAAAGATTTAATGATGTATTATGCTGTTCTAAAGAAACCCGCTAGTTGATTTGTGGCCCATGATCTTGCAGAAGGTAATGTCAATTAATATATCTTGGCCCCATGTCTTTGGCAATATAAGGTTTAGGCCCCTTGCTCTAGCTAATGAAAGGTCATAGGTGTTATGCCACTGGAGAAAGACAACATAAAAAAGAACCTTACCAATGATACAAGCAACAAGGACAGCATAGGATTTGAAACCATACACAATCACATTGTGTGTAATTGTAAATCATAACAAACTTAGTAATATTTGTTTTAAAATCTTCAACAATGAATACAAATTATACATAAAAGTGGAAAAACAGTACTTACACGCAACAATTTGATAATCATATTAAAATAGATATGTTAAGTATTCACAATAAGAAAGGCTTGCTAAAATTAAAGTTATTAATTTTCCACATTGCTCCCAGATTAATTTTTACAAAAAGAAAGACCATAACAGCTAGCTGGCAGATTTTTTAAGCACATAATTAATTCAAAAATTGACTGACATTAATTTGGACCATTTATATAGAGTAATTTATAGTAATACAAATGAACCTTATATTGGCAATGTTATTAAAGCACCAGTGGTAAACATTTTTCATAAATAGGCACTACACAAATACAAAAATGTATTACTATTATGGGATAATAAAATGGCAACAAATGCTTTAGTGAATCAAGTCTAAGCTGGGATGGGCATGTTATTACAATTAACCTACAGTGGAAGATGTTACAGTGGAAGATGTTACAGTCTCCTCCTTTTCAAGCTTCATAAACACAGTAGACCCGGGGTCATGATGTTAAGATGCGAGTGGTGACCCTGCTGAGACAAATCAACTGATAACAGCAACTAGAATCCAGTATTCATGATTATTTGCTAAACCATGGAATCTGTGACAGTTTAAAAAATTGCCTATACAATAACGCTATTCATACAATCATTAATTTAACAAGAGCATTTTAAATTTCTGTATATTTTTTTACCTTCCCCTGCCTGGGGGTATTTGTTGAATAAATTGAATATTGAATTGAATTGAATACATCAACACCTGTGTAGCTCCTGTGATAATGGATTAACATGAATGAACGAACAGTAGACCCAATCTTTTTTAAGGGTCAAATACATGAGGGGGGGCTCATAAATTTCATAGTATATTTTATCAATTTCAAATTTCATCATGATGCAATTATGAAGAATTTTTAGCATTTAAATTTTACAAGCAATAAATAGGTAAATAAATACCAATAATTTAATAACAATACTGTACATATCAAATTAATGAAATGCCTTTTTGCCAAGTAACCACACAAATTCTCTGCCTCGATTACTTTACACCGGGAGCACACTGCCACCAACAATCAGTAGACAGCGTTGCATCGTCAAGCGTTAGCACAGAGAGACGACCATAAGCCAATGCTTTAGTTTTAAAAAAAATTTCCACATTCTAGGCTCCTACACACTTTAATTATATTATGTCAACATCTATTTTAAGAACACTTGTTCTAATTCTATTCTAAAAATATAATTTTTTTTTCGTATGAATAAGTCTCACATTTTCACTTCTAATTCTATTCTAAAAATATAATTTTTTTTTTCGTATGGATAAGTTTCACATTTTTACTTAAAAGTTCACATTGTCATGATGCACTGTATACATCTGTAAACAATGACTAAAAATAGTTATATATCTGATATGCGCTGAAAGAATTACTATGCTCAGATATATAAAAATGCACAGAACATATTGAATTAAATGTCATTGCAACAAATCTCATATAAGGTAACAATGTATACATAACATTTTGTAAATATACAGCTTAAATAAACAGCAGGTATAATAATATTACCAGTACTAATAATAGTAATAAAAATAATAACAATAACACTTAGAATAACCAGTAATCAAATTTTTAATGAGTAAACTACCTATCTTGCAAAGCCCCTTAAATGCACCTAAAATTATTGATTCATTTTTGACAGGCATTTTATACAGGAAACTGATCCTTATACATTTACAAGATAAAAATAAAACATTACTTAGATTGGAAGACTATGAAATTATAAAATCTATATCAGTAAAAAAATAGAATACATTTATTATAGTCAGCCTCAAATTTCCAGTCAAAATTAGAATACAGTAACAATGATAATTCTCAGTCTCAAATTTCAATATTAACTGTAAGTATAACCACAGTACAGTAAAAATATAATACAATATCAATTATTCTCAGCCTAAAATGTTAATATTAACTTGGCTGTCTTTAGGTACTGTCAGTATAACCATGTTACTATAATATATTCTTATTAAAGGTAGACATTTTAAAGTGCTTAAACCCCCAGTATTGGACATTTGATTAGCTACCGAATAACAAATATTTCTTGAATCTTTGCACCGCTGAATTTAATTTGAAACATAAATGTTAATGGACTGTTTAAATGGGCACCTTAAAAATAATAAATTAAATTCATTTAAAGATCTGCAGTTTCTGTACAACAATTTTAAAACTATTATTAATATGTAAAAATTATTAGACTGTGTGAAAAGTCATCCATCTACAAACCCTCTTACACACAAATGAGTTTTGGAGTTTCTTTTGGCAGGAAAAAAAAAAAACAAAAGGGAGAATTTCCAGCCTTCACTTCCAGCCTTTGCACCTAAAACATAAATTACTTAGAAAAGAATCTATGTGTACATAAAATGTATGATTGTAAGAAACACTTAGCCAAGTTATTTAAGATATCAGAAAAAAGTACTGTACTCAATTTACCATATCTTTATATTGTTCCTATGATTTTTTATATGAAGTATATAAGTTTTAATTATGGAATGGATGTTTAAACAGTTTTGTAGTCACCCCCACACCCCATCGACAAACTTGTTACATAGTTACAACTATGAGATACTGCTTGAATAATGGAAATGGATTATAATGGAAATGTTTAGTAAATAGTAATGTTAATGATAATGGTCAGTAATGTTTCAGTTAAAAAACTTATTACAGGGCATAACACAGTTTATGTGTGCTGCTAAATAAAATTTATATAACTGAATCTATCTTTTCTTAACAAGAACACTAAAATAAAATCTCTAAATTACTCCAGAACCAACACAATTTAACATTTACCTGCAATGTAATACCATGATAATCAGTAATCACATAAACTGCATAAATACCTAAAGGCAAATCTGTGAATTGAGCCAACAACTTTTGAAGTACTAGTTTAAGGCTCTAATAACATTAACCAGGTGACAATGTTTAAATTTGCTAAAAGGTCTTGGTCAGCACTTCATCAAATTGGCTTATTTTTCTAAAAGTGGTACAAAGTGGTTCGGATGAAAAACTTCATCCTCACCAAGTTCTGTGTGAGTAGACCACATTAGGTAAGATGTTATTGGGTTCTTAATGTCTTTGTTACGCGGTGGGATAAGTACATGTAATGGGCTTTGTTCGGTATCACCCATGGTAGGATAGATGGACTGAATATTGCATCATAGCACAGATGCTAAGCCAAACATTTGAATTGGATTACCATGCAAACTGAATAGTTCTTTCAATGTATCCCTGACACAGCCTTCAAAGACTGCTGGGATTGCATCATCACTTAAAATGTCATCATCTTCTGTCTTGGTAAGTTCATACTCTGCCTTCATACACTTAATAAGTGCCTCTTGCTTAAGGTAATAATCTTTTTCACAGCAGAGCTCAATTACTGTGCATAGCCGTAGTTCGCAGCAACGATTGGCAGAGCCAAATGCTACAATGGATGCTGCAGAAAATAAACAATTATCATCTGCGCTAACCTTAATCGCTGTAAGACCTTGACGATCGGAATCGGTTAGGGAGTTAGCATAATGGTCAATCTCAAGGTCTGAATTACCACTGGCGCTTTGACATTTTTCCAGAACCCCAAATTTTGGAAGTTTACTTCTTAGCACGTGGCAAGCTCCAATAAGTTCATCAAATTTTCCAGAGTCGCTCTCTCTTAAATTTTGGGTAATAATACGCCATGTACTATCTTTAGTCCAATCCTTCTTACGGAGAACAGCTATGATAGTAAAAAAAACAAAAAAAAACATTAATTATTGATAAAGATTTTCATAAAAGTATATTCCATTCAGACTTAAAATTTCATAATTTTGTGTATCCGAAATTTATACACAAGGCAGGCAGAGCACAGGGCCGAGCATTTCCTTATATAGAGGAGTTTTGGTGTATTTTTCCCATAAAACCAATGCTGAGCTTTAGTGTACAGATAATGTTTGGTGCATTCTATTTTTTCACAATCAGAAACAACCAGCCAAATAAACCTTTGATTTGATATAAAATGCATTATTGGCTGAAAATGTTAGTAATTTTAGGCAAACGGAATGATGTAAACAATTTAATATAAATCTGCCATCAATTAGAAACAGAAATCTCCAATAAATACACTAATATAACCAAAATGAACATCAAAAATATATGTTACAGTATTTACCAAAAATGCTAGGATATGCAAATGAGGGAATTAACAACATTTAGAGAATCATGATTAGTGTTTATGGGCGAGGGGGCAGACAAATAAACCAAATGGAAAAAAAAAAATTATTACCCAAACCAACACTGAATATTGTAAAAATGTTTAATAAACCCTGACAATAATGTAACTGTAATTTTGCTATGAGGTTTAGCATTTATATTTTAAAGGTTATAATGTGTAGAATAAGACCAATAAGTCAATTTTAATTTGTTGGTTCCTGATGCTGGATTTGGGATGGCAAAGCCCCATATGTGGCAATGGTTGATTTCTAAAGATCTACTAACTTGTATCAAAATTGAAATTTGATGAGTCACTTTTTCTTCGTTTCCAAAAATAATCTGTTGGCGTTGTCGGTGTCACTGAATACAAAGAAAAAAAATCATTAATGACAATATTGTACCATTAATCTGTAAATTTTACATTATAAAATATAGTATTATACCAATAAAGAATGTTTATGAGCGCAATGGGAAGAATATTTTCACGAGTTGAAAGATTGACTTTCCATTCAACGAGGCAGGGCCAAGTTGAATAGAACAATCAATTTTTCTACCTTTTTTCTGAGTGGAGATTCTTGTCATTTTGTATTTTATGAAAAAACGTTACTCTTTTTGTTACCATTGTGTGCTAGTCTAGAATGTGGCCCTTGGAGCCCTGTGGTACCACTGGTAATGAAGCCATCAGTAATGTCATTTTCTTTCAAAAATCTTGACTGTGGACAGTTGGTTGATATTATGAAAGAAGTGGCTATTAATGATGTAATTGTTTGGGAAATTTAAATACATTAAAAAAGTCTTACTTACCAGGTTCAAGTTCTCGTTCCGGCCATAAATATTGAAATGTCTCTTCTGCCCTTCCAATCTCCACTAGAACTAGGGCTAATCTTTTCTTAGTAGCGAGTATACCTTGCCGTTGAACCCACAGATGTAATACTTCATAGTTTTGTCTCTGTAAATCATACTTGTGGTCATGTTCAATGGTTTCTATTTCACCCTGACGCAAGCCTAGTAGTATACCAACTGATGCCACTTTGTTGCCTATGAGCATTGCGATTTTATTGATAATTTCAATTGTGACTCTTGTTGCATCCACTATATCAAACAAATGTATACCAAATTATGAAAAATTATTAATCCTATATTTATTTAACTTTGAAACTAAATGTAGAATTAATTGAAATTTCTGTGATGAAATCAGAAAATGTAATGAAAACCAGAAAAGGAATACGGCAGTCCTCTGCGAAAAAACTTTGCTCCTTAGATGGCGTGAAATGTGTTCCCCTGCTTTTCAACAATAATAATAATTGTTGACTAAAGGCCAACTCAGACAGCGTCGGCCGACGCAGCCCGACCTGATTTATCGTCGGGGACAGTCTGAAGCCGTCGTGAGAAATATTATACATGTTTAATATTCTACAACGCGACTGCCCCCGACGCACACCATCGCGTCTGCGTTTAACTCACACAGACCCGACAATAAATCGCGTCGGGCTGCGTCGTACGACGCTGTCTGAGTTGGCCTTTATATAGCGCATATTGTAGAGACTTCCGTGCAATTAGCATTATTACCCCCGGTCACTGGACCAAGCACATATGGAACACACACTCAGGCCCCATGGGAGAATTCCATAATGTTGCGGGTGTAATCAGCGCATGGTTGTGTTTGAACCTACCAGGAACACACTTGTACTCCTGGGTGGAGAGAGACAACCATAGATAATTGCATTGCCCAAGGACACAAGCGACATTGTGGCAAACCCCTGACTTCAAGGTTGGGAGTCCAAGCCACATCCAATGTGGCAACCGCTTCTATATTTTTGGAGAGTTATTGTACCAAATTTATTGTTCTTCCATTAACATCTTTATATTTTAATAATTACTAATCTTTTATATATGACAGAACAGTAAAACATATCAATGAGATACATTCATTTTATTCATTTTGAGGGATCTCCAAGACCCAAATAATATAATGCAAGGACTGATTAGTCATTTGTATGACTGTCAGAATCTGTGATTTATGGATGTATGTGTATTTGCCATTCACATTCTCTAGTCTATAAATAAGCTTCAAACTCTTTAATCACCTCTGAATCCCCCAGATATTTTTCTCCATTTTATTATCAACTTCAAGCTATTATTATTATTATTTTTATTATTATTATCATAATATATATAATCCCATCCCCGACTTTATGCACAACTTCAAGAATTTCCCCAGGCAGAGTCCCAGGGTATAATTTGAGTGAGTAGGCCTAGCTGGAACTAGGCCTAGATGGGTAAATTTAACAAATGCTCACAAAAAATAAAGAAATTTGGCTCTGAATTTGGACGACCCGCCCCATGATCTGATTGGATCTTTAATTTACAGCCTGAAGATTCACTTGTTTCAGAGCTGCAGCTAAAAATAGACAATAACGTCCCTAAAGAGACAAACCCAGTGGCTGATCAGATCTTAGTTCACAGCGTGAAGCCTCACATGCTCCGCAGAGATTCGCTGCTAAAAATAACTTATTACATCACGCACTACAAGTGTGCGGTCTTAACTATGACATCAAGAAAGTTAGTTTAGGCAAAGGCCATGGTAAGACCACAAGCTGCTAACTACGATTACGAAGTTCCCTTCCCTTTGGTTCTTGAGTAAACTCTGATTTCTTCACCGGAATATTC